TTGTTTGAACCCACTGGCTGCTTTTAAGTTGGATTCGTTCATCTTTGACATGTTGAAAACTTAAATGGGCTTTATTGACAGCATCTTACAAGGAATGGAAGTAAATTGTAAATGATTTGTATCAAATAGTTTGTCTTTCGTTCCTCATAAACCACAGCCTCTCTAGCTCTTGTCACTTTGGAATTCTTATATTAATAGTACAAATTGCAACTTTCTTCTACTTCTTCCTTTCCACTCAATACAATAGCTTAATTTTTCAAGTTAAGATATAGCTCATATGCCAGAAATTCATCTTTTGAAAGTATACAATTCAGTGGTTTTAGTATATTTATAAGGTTGTGCCACCATCACCAATATCTAATTCCAGAACATTTTCATCACCCAGAGGGAAACCCTGTATCCATTAACAGTCCTTCCCCATTCGGCCTCCTCCCCATTGCCTGGCAAACACTAATCTACTTTCTGTCTCCATGTATTTTCCTATTCTGGATATTTCATTTAAGTGAAACCATATAATATGCTTCCCTTTGTATCTGGCTTCTTTCACTTAGTGTAATGTTTCCATGGTTCATCCACATTATAGCATGTGAGTACTGCATTTCTTTTTATGGCTGTATCATACTCTATTATATGGATATATCACACTTTATTCATTAGTGAGTACATAGACATATAGGTTGTTTCTATATTTGGCTATTCTGACTAATGGTGCTATGAATGTTCCTGCACAAGTTCTTTGTGCAAACATAGATTTTCATTTATCTCGTGTAGATAGTTTAGGTCTTTCCTTTCATTTTTTCATTACTTTCCCCCCCTCACTCAGCTTCAGACATGCCCAGAACAATAGGAACTCTTTATAACCCTGAGCAAGCTTGACAAACACCCACTGGTACAGCTTCCTAAACCCAAACTCCATTTGCCTGTGTTTTCCCAGAGCCACCCATTGGACAGATGCATCCCCCACATGGCAGTGTCACCCCTCAGAAGAACAGCAACCTGCTCGTGATCATTGTAGTCACCGTTGGTATCATCACAGTGCTGGCAGTGGTGATTGTGGCTGTGATTTGCACCCGACGTTCTTCAGCCCAGCAGAGAAAGTAGGTAACAGCTGGCTCCCAAGAGGAAAGAAGTCACCATCTTTTGGGATTATGTTTTGGACAGCTCTCTTTCTGTGTTCTTTCATAACTCACCACATTTCCTTGTCTCCTGACCCTGGCAAAACTATATTTTGTCTATTTCAGTCCTATAATTAAGTAAGTGAAAGCTAAACTTGGAGATTTAATAACAAACAAAGCCATTTGGACCCACTTGCATTTCTGTTTGCTTTTACTTTTCCAGACTACTTCTCAGTTTCAAGTGAGGGCAGCTGTTCCTTAAGTAACACTTGGAGAATGGTCTCTACCACACCTTTGCTTATGACCCTCTCTGCAATCACATACAAAAGGTTGGAGAAGTGTGTCCCTCTATAAACTTATTTATCACCTTTGAAAAGGAGGCCTGTAGGCAGTTAATCAATACTTGTTGAATAGAGGCCTAAATATGGGATACCAAACTCAATGTAGTTACAATCCTATGGGTGTTTAGTTTGGAGGCAGCAGTTAAAGAAGATGTTACAGAAAGCTTAGACACTTGTCCTTGAGGATGCATCAGAAAAATAAGAACAAGCAGTTTGAGGAGAAGGAAAGAGAAGTTTATTACTTTGCTGGCAAAGGAGGAGAATGGAGACTCCTATCTGAAATGCCATTGTCCTAATAATAAACAGAAATACAGAGTTTTTAAAGGATGGGTTCTCAGCTTCAGGCAATTACTGTTCAACTACAGCTGGTGATTCTGATCATCCCATCTCTGCTGAAGACAATCTTGTGACCTCCACCCAGGACCTCCCTTTAGCAGGTCTGGGCTGAGCCATCTCCTTTAGCATAAA